GTATGGAACTATGTGAAACTGAAAAGTGGCTGAATATCTGTACTTTCCTGTGATTCAACCTAATAGAATGTGAGCGAGCTAGTACTTCAGTCCTAAAGGCTACACTCTTTGCCTTGTACCATATGCTGCCCTAAGTACCAGATTCTTTCTTTCCCCTTGGCAGTGTGGTAGTTTCAGACTCATGTCTCTCACCCCCTAAAATATTAGGACTAGGGAGCCGAGAGAAGGGCAGCCCAAGGTCTGACATGTGTTGAGTTGGGTCTAGGCATGTTTCTCTGGAGGCGAAAGCTGGAATTGCATTATGGGCCTCTATTGATTTGTGTATCTGCTGCTACTTACAGCTGCCATGTGTGTGCGTTTCCGTACACTATCTGATTCTAGATCCCTTCTGTTTATCACACTCGACTGTAATCATCTGCTTAATTGCCCCCATAGGCTGTAAATTCCCCGAGGACTGTGATTGTGTCTCCTTGTTCTTTCTAGTACCTATTAGAGTACCTTGCACATCCAAAGTTGGTGCTTCATAAATATTTGATCAAAAAAGAAGTAAACAAATGCTACCATCTCACAAGTCACCCTGTCTTCTGCCCAGTGAGCACTTCTCTCTGTCCCCTGTGTCTGTTCATACACCTGACCTCCTTACTGCCTTCGAACTCATTCACAGCTCAGTGTTTTTTCGGATGTGACTGTGTTTGTCTGCTTGGGCTGGGAAGAGAATGGTATTGTTTTCAGGCCCCTACGAAGGACTGACATGGGTTGGGCTTGAAGGAGAGACCTGAATAGAGAAACTTTGCCATTTGGATGTGGATCCTTGTATTATGTATTGTATGACCTGAAATTTTCCACTTGGGTTTTTTCCATCCCTTTGGGGGCCTGGACATTAAAGCAGGCTCTGGCCGGGAAGTGCCCTGGCTGCGTAGAGTCCTCTGGGTACTGTGGACACTGCCCTGCTGTCCTTTCCCTGGCAATGAAGGACGCTTGTCACATATTGGAGCAACCTAGGTGTCTACTGTGGGGCTTAACTGCGCTAGTAGGAGACAGTGAACTTGGAATCTAGAAAGGCAGAAATTTCACCTCTGAGTAAAGTCTTTCCTGTATCATAGGGTCTACGGGCTGTTAAAAAAACAAAATCCAACCCAGCACATTTGAAGATCTCATTGGCTTTATTAAGCGACTCATGAGTCAGGCAGCGTCCCGCCTAGCAACTAGAGGGATGATCCCGGGGTTGTACAAAATGAAAGCTTTTTACAGGAAGAAGGGGAGGGAAGGGAGCTGATAAAAGGAAAGGGCTATTTTTAGACCACTGACATTTTCTTTTGGGAGCTGGGGGACAGCAAGGGTTTTTATCCTGCAGATTGCCTCTTCTCAATATGGGGCATGGTGAGGGCCCATGTGATAGATTACCTCATGGGTGCTGAGCAGAAAATTCCAGACTGGTTGATTAAATTATGTTTCTGGGAGAATTTGAAAGGGAAGTTAGGTCAGGTATTAAATCCAGGTTTGGTATCACGGGCTTTAGCACAAGGTTTTTTTGTGACTGACTTCATTCACTTAACCTAATGTGTTCAAGGTTCACCCATGCTGTATACATCATTTCTCCTAATGGCCAAATAATATTCCATTGTATGGCTATACCACATTTTACTTATCCACTCATCAGCCAATGGGCGAAATTTTAAAAAGTGACTCTAGAACTTGACAGTGTCAAATATTTATGCTTGAAATGACTGAGCTCCTGAATGGTACTTGTCCATTTTGGATTATATAGCAATTTCTATCTTAATACCATATTTCCTTACCTACAGTGATGTCCACCCTTCTCTTTCTTACCCAGTCAGCCTCCTTGGGTTAGGTTATATATGAACTCCCTTACCAATGATCACGATTAGCATTTTTTAATCCATATCTTGGAATTTTGCTCTTCTTCCCTCAACTGGATTGCAAGCATACTGAGTATAAGAAATACATATTAGACATCGTCATTATTCCCCACAGGGTCTCTAAAGTCCTTTTACACTAAGAGTGTTGCTAAATATGTAGGACAAGGGCCTGCAAGAGTCAGAGCTGACCCATTCACACGGCTGGCTGTGATCACACTTCTTCAATTTAAACGTCTCTCCCCAACTCCTAGAAATGTGGAATATCTATGGGAGGCAAACTCTTGACCTCCTTAATATAATGGGTAATGATGCTTCTGGTCTAATGCTGAAAAGATTGATACATTTTGCTTTAAGAGCTTTTTTTTGTTTTTATTGGCCAGATAAAGCCATTTCTCTTTTTTTAAAAAGGGGGTAGGTTGTTTTTTTAGGATTTGCTGTGCCATGGCTTCTACTGGGACATAAATTTGAAACTCTTCTAATTTTTAAAAGTTAGAACCATATTTTGGATTATATAAGCGAAGATCAATGAATAGAGTTAACACCTAAGCCTTGAAAAGGAGTCAGGTAATTGGTTGCTGCTGGCTGCTCTTAACTCAATTCTGTGCTGAACTTTGCAGTAAAAATCAGGGTGAGAATCGATTCAGCAGAATCCCATGTTTCACGTGGATTGCTGTGAAGGCTCTGGTCAAGTGATGTTCCCAGAAACAAAACAAGCTACCGACATAGAGAAAGTTTGATTAAACTCTGTGTAACTAGGCAGTGATTTTTCTGCAAAAATAGGTTGTAGAGGGGCTAGACCTTAACACTTTAAATTGGAATGTACTTGTATTTCCGTGTGGTAAGATTTTGTATCACCTGGGAAATGACTTTGATCTGCTGGAATCATTTATCATAAGATTTCAGATCTAATCTGTGATGCTGAAGCTATTTCAGCAGTTCTGTGTGAGACATAAATGTCACCGTCTAGTTGATTGAACAGACATAATACTAAGGCCTAGAGAAGTAATCTATTCTTTTTATCGTTCCTCATTTATTTTTTGCTTTCCCTCCTTTTCAATTCTCTTTTCTACTTAACTTAGAAGGATAAAGCTAACATGAAGAATGTGCGGATTGGATATGTATTTGTGTGCAGGGTCTGGGATAGCTCACCTTTGGTGTAATCATTTATTTTTCTTTCTATGACATAATACTAGTTTAAAATGTGGTTATGGCTGAGGGATAGCTCACCTTTGGTGTAATCATTTATTTTTCTTTCTATGACATAATACTAGTTTAAAATGTGGTTATGACTGAGAACTTTAACTCCCCTAGTCAGACAGGGTGCCGCAGGCCGACGCTCTATCCATTGAGCCAAACGGGTTCGGCTATGGCTGAGAACTTTAACTCCCCTAGTCAGACAGGGTAAATTGGTTTTATAGTTGATAATAGGTAATATTTCTTGAATGCTTACTGCACGCCAGGCACCATGCGTGTGCTTTTTGTGCATTATTTCACTTAGTCTTCCGAATATCATTATGAGCGAGGAACCATTACGATCCCCCCTTAATCAATGAGGAGGTCGGGGCTCTTAGAGAGGGCAGGTGACTTGCCAGGCCCTCTTCTCACCTGCAGGGCCTATGCTCTCGGCCACTCTCCTTGCTGCCTCCACATCTTTCAAGAATGCCCAAATGCGGCACATTCCCTAATTTTATAGCTCACCACATTCCACTAGGTCAGGGGAGATTGGCAGTGTGTCCTGGCCTGGTCTCTGAAATGCTGGAGTGGAATGCTGGACTCGGTTATTGCTTTATCTTCAAGAGGAACCCTTCTGGGTTTCAGTTTCCTTATTTTTAAAATGCGGGACCACCTATACCACTGAGAAAACGGAGGCTCATGTGATGAAGCCCATAGCATAGTATTAATGAAACTCCTCCTGCTTCATACTGTGTAATGGATTTCATCAGGGAAGGAACGGATTCGTTTCTGTGCACTCAGCTCGAAGCCTGAATAAAGTCCATCCTGAACTAAAATGCAGAGACCCCTCCATCGGTTCACCCACAAACCTGCTCCTCTTTCTGTGCCCTGGTTTTGTCATTAACACTCGTTGCCACCCACTGGCTAGAAACCTCAGCATTGGCTCTGCTCCTCCCTCTGGTCTAATCGAGTCTCTCACTCATCCGCGAGCCCTGTGGAGTCTACCTCTGAGAGGTCTTTTGAGTCTTCCTCCCTGTGCTTCGCTGGCTCAGACAGTCCCCACCTGTTCTGGTCAGTTGCCTCTTGGCTCATCATCTTCTTCACGCCTACCTACCGTGAATTCCTTCCTCAACACAGAGCTGGCCGGGGCCCTATTTTGCCTGCAGCTCCCTAGTGAGTTCTTGTTCTCTACTGATTACTATTTAGCCTTCTTAGCATGACGTTCATAAACTTGTTGTAAGCTGATTTCTGTGCCGATTTCCCACTCCTCACCATACACCAGGGCACTTCCCCTGCCCTGGGCACTTCATGGACAAGCTCTCACCAAATCCTTGTCCATATTTGACTTGGGATGCTTTTATTTCCTTCTTCTGTTTGTCAAAATCTGACTTGTTGCTGCCTCACCTCAATACAAATGAAGTGTTCTCTTCATACATTTGCCATCAGAATCTCCTGTCACCTTAAACAAATGCAATTTTATGAACGTCCAATTTTATCGTAAAGGCAGGGTATTGTTTTCAGAAATGCTCATCACAACACAATTTCTTTAATTAATTAAATTCCTAGGTATACTTAAAATACAGTCCTATATACAGCACTTTAGTTTACAGGAACACACCTGTGTTGGTAAGAAAAAACTTATTCTAACATACACTCTGTCCGTCAGTGCATTAAAGAGCGAACAGGCTTGGGCAGTGCTCAGCACCAGGGGCGGTGAGGGACAGATGAGGAGGATGGTTAAGTAGCCCCGGGGAAGTCCTGAGGCCTACAGTCCGGTGGTCATTGGCTAGGTTACTGACCATCTGAATCCACAGCTGTGTCAAGGGCCAGGAAGAGGGCTGAGTTGAGATGACAGGTGGAGGACTGAGGCAAGTTCAAGTAGGAGCCTGGTTCCAGGGTAGAGGGTCTGCAGCAGGTAATGATGATTCATACCTGTGTGCTTTTCAGAACATCGAGCTGAAGGTTGAAGTGGAGAGCCTGAAACGAGAACTCCAGGACAAGAAACAGCATCTGGATAAAACTTGGTGAGTTGCAGTTTGCACTAGATGAGTTCTGGTCCCTTCCAGAGTCTGGCTCACTAACCTGAGAATAATAGGTTTGGAACCAAATTCCTTATCCTGAACTCTGGCATCTGGATGCCATGTCCAATTCAGGGCTCTCTTACTAAGTCTGACAGACCTTGCCATTGAGTTCTGGTCCCTTCCAGAGTCTGGCTCACTAACCTAAGACTAATAGATTTGGAACCAAATTCCTTTACCCTGAACTCTGGCATCTGGATGCCATGTCTAATTCAGGGCTCTGTTACTAAGTCTGACAGACCTTGCCACAGATGGATAAATTCACCAGACCTAAGTTTATAAACTTCCTATTCAATAATCTACTGATATAACACCAAGGGCTGGCATAGAGATTGGGGAAAATGGGCACGCTCATATACTGCTGACAAGAATGTGAATTGTGGCCACATTTTTGGTATGTGGCACTACCCAAGTAAAAAAATAAGCATTTCCTCTGATCAAATAATCCTTAAAAGGAATCTGTTCCTTACACATAAGAACACGAATATGAAAGGATAAATGTATAAAGATAATTCCTGAATCATTTGTAATGGTGGCAAAAACCTAGAATCAACTATGCATCAATAGAGCAATGGTTGAAGGCATTTTGATCTACCCATACTGTGGAATATTATGCAGTCATTAAAAAGCATGAGTTAGCTCTATCCTGGTGGGAAGTCCCTGACAGACTAAGTAAGGGGGAAAGGTGCTGAGTGATGTTTATAGTGTCAGCCCCTTTGAGTAAAGGCAAACAGTGCTCTCTTTGGGTATATGTGTTTGTTTGATGCTGCATAGGAAGAAAACTGGAGAATTTCATATCAAATCCTTTAATGTGCTTATATCAAGGGAGTGAGATTGGAGTTTGTGATGGGAAGAAGACTTGATTTTTCCTTTATATAATTTTGTGTTGTTAAAATAGTTACTTTTATAATTTATAGTTTTTATAATTTAAAAACTGAGTTTTAAATGATAAGTATTATTAAAATTGCCATTAAAAATAATTTTCAGATTGTATCCTGTGATCGGTTTACATTCACTCTGATCTGTCAATCTTTCTATTGCTACTTCTCTTGACATTTAGGATGACTAGTCTAGCAAGGTCAGAATACTCAAAACCAGACTCAATAATACACAATATACTGGTGTTATTAAACACTTACTAAAGCACTAAGTGAGCTGATAGCTTTTAGGAAAACATATAAAATAACAATTAATAGATTTTGAGATTTGTGTAATGCTTTAAAAATTTTTTATGTCATTTCAGCTTTTCATTAGGTGGCATTATCTATTTTTAGGAATGAAAAAAGTAAGGTACAGGGTATTAAAGTCTTGTCAAATGAGTGGCAGAACCCACATCTTCTGGCATCAATTCAGCACCTCTGACTATACAACAGCTGTAGCCTCTTCAATCAGGAATTCCTGGCCAACTGAGCTACTCAGAAAATGTATAACTTCCATTCTCAAGATATTATAGTTAGCTTTTGTCTATTGCATTTATCAAAGAATATGGAGTCAAAGTAAAAGTTGATGATTTCTGAAGTCTACCTATTTAGGGGTCTTTCTACTTAGGGTTATTCTTTTGACTTGTGTCCCTTGTACAACTAAGACCCTTCTATCCCCCAAAGACTCAAGTTACATAAAGCCTCTGGATGGTAGTGAGTAGTGTCCACCAGTAACTAAGGGATCCTGTCATCTTTAGGAAAGCTCCCTTTGGTCTCCATGGACACAGCCTTCTGGGTCAAATATTAAAGTACCACTCGGCTTGGGTAGAGTAGCTTTGATTTATGAAGGTACAATGTTGCTCTCTGCTCTGAGAACAAGAAGGTGGTCCATGGTTCTCAACAAATGACTTAAAGCAGGAATAAAACCAAACCGGAATTAAGATCATTCAGCACCTGATATTGCCCCCAAATTTCTAATCCTCAGACATCCACGGGCAGCTGTTGTTAGCTAAAAATAAGCTGGTGACACCTTACCCACTTTAGCGCCTGGACATTCATTCCTAAGGACGTCAGAGGAGCAAAGCTAGGCCAGAACCCCGAGCCTCCGTAGATTAAATGTCTGCTCTCCGCAGGGAGAACTGGATGGGACTCTGGCCAGGTAGCCCAGATGCAGGGCAGGTATTTAGGAGTTACTGGCTATAAAAAAGGAGAGCATTTCTGTGGCTGTCCAAATGGGTATTCTGTCCCAGCAGTGGAAGGAACACTTTCAATTCAAATAGCAAGAAAGGCAGGGAACTAGCAAAGCACTCTGGGAGGATAAGCCTGAATGGAAGAGTCCCTGGACAGAAGATAGTGGACATGGATGCTAAGTTCTGAACAGTTTGATGGCGACTCACCTTCCAAATGAAAGATCCCCCCAGGAAGCTATAGGAATAATGAAGCCTCTAGGGCAGGGATGGGGAAGGTCCAGCTCGCGGGCTGTAGAAGGCCCTCGAAATCATCTGGTCTGGCCCTGCCAAGGCATTAGGGGTGAGTTAATTAAATGTTTGACCAAAATATAGCAGGCTAATGTTTACGTTGATAATTTTGTATGGCCCACGAGTGATGTTATACATATCCAAATGGCGCTTGGCAGAAAAAAAAGGTTCCCCACCCCTGCTCCAGGGAGTCAAGTGTATTCTGATGGACAAGCAACAAAAACTTAAGAGTTCCTGGAAAGGTTGGAAAAAGCAGTTCTGAAAATAGTTGCCGAGGGAAAAAGCCTTCATTCTTCTCCTCCTTCATCGTTGTGTGAAACAACCGACATGGGTTCACGAGCTAAATGACATGACTGGCTCTGACTGGCCCGTGCTCTGCGGTTTCAGTGCCGATGCGGAGACTCTCAGCAGCCACAATGAGGCTGAGCTCCGGCGCCAGGTTGAGGAGCGACAGCAGGAGACGCAGCATGTCTACGAGCTCCTGGAGAACAAGATCCAGCTTCTGCAGGAGGTAAGCAGGGGCCCAGGGCCAGGCTCCCTGCCCTGTTCCCTACTGCTCTGCCCCTGCATTCACCCTTCCTCCCCTCTCGTGCTTCCCAAACGCATGGAGTGTCCCCGTGTTTTAGGGCTCTTAACCTCGGTGGGGACTTCGCAGTCTCTCAGTTTTTGTTCTTTTTGCAGGAATCCAGGCTAGCAAAGAACGAAGCTGCGCGGATGGCAGCTCTGGTGGAAGCAGAGAAAGAGTGTAACCTGGAGCTCTCGGAGAAACTGAAGGGAGTCACCAAGGACAGGGAAGATGTACCAGGAGACCGGGTCAAGCCCGACCAGCACACGGAGGCCCTGGCCCAGAGGGACAAGTAGGTGCCTTTGGTGCTGTATTTGTCACCTGCCTTTTGCCTGTTCTCCAGGTTCTGAGCCACATAGCAGGTGCACTGTTCCCTTTTAAGGACTTACAGTGTCCATTTCTAAGACTCGGTGGCTCCCACAACCAAAGATTTTCTTTTTAGGGTTGCGTCTTCAATGGTATTCATGAAAAGAACTCATTTGTTGGCAATCGGGAGCCTTGTGTAGGTATAAATAGAACAAGGGTCACACGGTGGCAAACGAGAGATGTGGATTTACTTATTGTACAGACATTTACTGAGCACCTGCTACATTCCAGACACTGGGCTAAGCACTAAGGTTACAGAGATGAAAGACCCAGGTCTGTTATCATGTTGCACAGTCTTAATAAGTTCTCTGATAGAAGTAACATGGAATTCTTGGGGGACATGGAGGATTGTCATCTCTTCCAGACTAAAGGTTTCTTAGAGGAGCTGAGATCTGAGCTGAGTTTTAAAGAATGGATAGAAGTTAGAAGAAAGCATAGAAAGTGGGGGGAAGAGAAATCTTCTGTGCGAAGGAGAAACTGGAGGGGAGACAGAGGGAAGGGCGTATTTCAAGGCCTGCGCATGGTTCTACGTAACTAGAGCAGAGGGTCTGGGGAACACTAGGGGGAGGTAAGCTGTGCTCACAGTAGGGGTCTGATTGTGCCAGCTTTGTGTGCCATAATAAGGAACTTGAATTTGTTTCTAAAGGTAACTGGGCAGTTGTTAAGGCCACTACTGTCCAGGTTACTACAGCAAAACTTCTATTCTCTTCACTTCCGGTCCTGCCCCTCTACTGTCCATTCCTATCTAATAATGCAGAGCTGTTTTGAAGTGGAGAATTCAACATTATCAGAGAAACAGCAAGATATGCCTTGCGTGTTGTAGATAAGGAATAACTGTTTATTTGAACCCATGGTTTGTATATTTCAACACAGCCTTCGGTCTTTTAACTTAATCCTAGTCTGAATGTCCAGCCTCTTCTCCAGCCATTGTCTCTTCCCCCACACCCACCCTAGCCTTTCCCCCTTCTTTCTACCAATGACTCTTCCCCAAATGTAACTTGTGTCTTTATACTTTCATTCCTCTGTTCAAGCTCTCCTTCTGAGCCTGTAAATAACCCAGTCTTCAAAAATCTCTTCTCCTGAGCTTTCCCCAGACTCTTTCCAGTCAAATTAATCGTGTGTTTTTTTAATCTGTCTTTAAAAAAAAAATCTGTCTTCCTGTAGCTCCATGGCAGCACCCAATGTACTACAAGGTACACATACACCTGTGGTATGGTAGCACTTACTACATTCTATGACTATTATTTGTTTCTATTGCTGTCTCTGCACTCCCCAAACTCTTGGCACACACACTGAAAGAATTAATGTTTTCACAGAGCAGAGATTGTGTCTTTTCCAAACTTATATTCCCAGTACTTGGTAGAGTGCATTGAGTATACATAATGGCTATCTAAGAATTGTTTCTTGAGTGAAACAACAATAGCAACCCAAGAAACTATAACTTCAGGGCCTTTATTTCCGGTTACAGTGGGGCCTTGACTTACGAGTTTAATTCGTTCCGAGACCGAGCTCGTTAAGGAGCTTGTTAACTCAAATTACTCTATCAACTCAATGCAAAAAATCGGCCGAGAGACAGCTGGTATCTCAAAAAACTCGTTAGTCGGGACACTCGTAAGTCAAGGCCCCACTGTACATACCTATGGTCTATAGATCCATAGATTGGCTTCAGGAGGCTCGTAAACCTAGTGACAATGTAAGCAAATTGTGTAAATGTTTGGGGGCTGGAGCAGAGCATCCATGGCTTTCTGAAGAAAAGAATCAAAGAGTTCAATGACCCCCAAAGCTAAAAACCTCCTGTATTGAACCATGCTCTCTTTGGAGTGGGCTGAAGGTAGTAATAGTATCATGAACATAATTGTTCTTACTTTTTCTTCAATCCAGACAAATTGAAGAACTGAGTCAGAGCCTGGCTGCCCAGGAGAAGCTTGTAGAACAGCTCTCTCAAGAGAAACAACAGCTGCTACATCTGCTGGAGGAGCCAACTAGCATGGAAGTGCAGGTGAGGTTTGGGCTATACTTCCGGAGGCACTCGCCTCGTGCTTTCATGAGTCCTGCTTTCTTATATCTAAATGTATTAGCTATCTATTGCTGTGTAGCCAGTTACTACATACTTAGTGGTTTGAAACCATAGACATTTATTATCCCACAGTTTCTGTAGGTCAGAAGTCCAGAAATGGCTTGGCTGGTTTCTCTGCTCAGGGTCTCCCAAGTCTGAAATCAAAGTCGCAGCTGGGCTGCGTTCTCTTCTGGAGACTCACTCGAGAACTGATACATGACCAAGCTCCCTCAGGTTGTTGGGACAATTTAAA